CATCTTCAAGTGAATAGCTTTTCAGTAGTTGCCGACTAAACCTAGCCGCCGAACAAAATGTCAAAGCCGCCGTCGAAAATTATTATGGAAATTATAGAATTTTACAATATAAAATTAATTTGTTTTCATTTAAGCAAGTTTTCTTTTATGTAATAATAAGCCGCTCATTGAAATTTGGCCGGTGTAAAATTTTGTTCAACGTTCGTTGTATATGCTTTGCCTCAGATATTTTCGCGTTTACGCGCCTAATTCGAGTAGCTGTTATTACTTCAAACAAATTGCGGTTTGAATGATGAATGAGAGCGTGAATGACGAATAATTTCATCATGTGATCAGGGTATTAACATACTCAAGTGAATAGCTTTTCAGTAATTGTAAGAAATTCGTAATATATTCAAAATGTAATAATTTAATAATAGAGAATTTTCTGTATATTTTTATTAATCGAGAAAAATAGCTGTAAAAATATAGTTATAAATTTTTCAAACATTTTGTTATAAGAAAAATTTCTCGATTTCGAAAATTCTGTAAATTTTTTCTGTAAAATTTTTAAAAAGTTAAGTTTGCTATCAATCAATCAATCAATTTTATCTACCTATTTATCTATCTACATATCTACCATTGTTTGCATTCTTTAAAACAATCACTAAATCTTCTATACCATGTACATTTTTTTTTTGTTAGTTAAACGTCTTTAACGTTAGTCGTTTGTAGTACCAACTGTAATTATATTATTAAACGTACAATTATTGTGAATGCAATAAAATTATTGTGATTAATCAAAAACTTTTATTTGCCAAAAATTAACAATAATGTATCCAAAATTCTTTCCGCATTCCCCCTCCATTAAATAAACAACAACAATTGTGAATAAACAACCGACTGCAGAAAAGAAAATTTCAGAAGAGACTCGCAAAAAATAAAAGAAAAAGAAAATACAATACATACATTTTATTAACTTCTACAAAACAACAAACATGTAATTTTAAATGCGATTAATAATTTTTAATAAAACATAATAAATAAAAAATTAAAGTGAAGATTTGTAACAAAAAAATACAAGTTTTCTAATTTATGTAGTTTTTATAAAGTCCACCATAAGCTTTGATTAACTGGAATTCTTGCTGGTGGAATTAGTCAGACGCAACATACAATATAAATGAATAACAACAACAATAAAAACAACAAATATTTATAGTAAAAAATCAAACGAATTTAATAATATACAACAAATAAAACAAACATTCCATAACTGAATACAGGAAGTAATAATTTACGTACCGAAAGAAAAACAACAAAACAAAATTCCATTAAACTGTAAAAAAATAAAACAAGAAGCTATTAACAATTAATTAATTAAAACAAACTATGATACGTAACGGTGGAGGAGGAGGCGGTGGCGGCAGCAACAATATAGGTGATAGTGGTGGCGGTGGTTGTGGAGCTACAGCTGCCATGGGTGGGGCTGTAGGTGGTGGTGGTGGTAATGATGGCTGCATATATCCCGATGAAGTTATCATGGAAAAGGGGGTGGCATTCAATGTGCGAGTATGTTTAATCAATTAATAATACGAACAGAATACACTGCATGCATGTACATTGTGTAATATGGCTTCATGATTAAGAACTAATTTGTATCCATTGTTTTCTCTTCTCTTTTTTCCCTTTTGATTTTTGTAGTATACGGGTTGTGTCGAGGTTAATACGTCTATGAAATCGTTAGATTTTCATACTAGGACACAAGTGGCCAGGTAAAGACTTATACTACTTATAAATAAAAGTTAGAAGATATTGTTGATTTCTTATTTGTGTTTCTAGAGAATGTATAAATCGTGTATGTGAAGCAGCTGGTCTAAAATCGGCCGGCAAAAGGCGCATTGATAAGAAGATAGCACAGTATATAGCAGAAAGACCATGTATGGCGAATGCTGGCACCAATGTTATCATTAATGTTTCGAGCCGTTCATTGAATTTAATAAATGTCGATAATAGCGAGATAATTGCCTCACATCAAATGCCCAGAATATCATTTGCATCGGGTGGGGATACGGTAAGAGACAATATGAAAAATTTTAAGAAAAAAAGAACATTTTTTTATAGAAAAGACAATTTTCGCAAAAAGACAAACTTTAGAAAATTTTCTAAAAAGACAAAATTTTGGAACATTACTTCAAAAAAGATAAAAATTTTGAAAATTTTCTAAAATATTACTAAAAAATATTAAATTTTGGGTAAAAAAAAGATTAAAATTTCGAACATTTTCTAAAAAAAAGACAAAATTTTTAAAAAATTACTAAAAATAAGGACATTTTCGAAATATTTCTACAAAAAAAAGATAAAAATTTTAGGAAATTTCTAAAAAAAAGACAAAATTTTCTATAAAATAAGAAAAAATTAAAGAAAAGTTTCTATAAAAAGACCCATTTTTCAAAAATGTTTTCCTCTTCTAGGATACCCTTGATTTTTTAGCATATATTGCTAAAAATGAAGATGAATGGCGAGCTTGCTATGTTTTGGAATGTATAGGTGGTCAAAGTGAAGATCTTATTGTCACTATTGGCAAAGCTTTTATGTTGCGTTATAATGCTATCAACCGTAAAGGGTAAAATAAAGCAAATTTTTAGAAGTTTTCAATATGAAATATGTAATTATTTTTTATTAAATCATTTGTAGTCATTATCATGGGCAAAATATAGATAATGTTAATGCTTCTGTAAAGGAAAACGATAAGGACTACTATAATGATTTACCCAACAAATTACCTCCAGATTTAATGAACGACAACGAATTGCAACATGAGCAACAACAACAACAAAAAGTGGCCCAATTAAATCTAAAGAAACCCAGAGATCGCCTTAGCAGTAATTTAATCGATTTGAATAGTCCACCGCCAGATCAGACATCAAATAAACTCAATTTAAATGCATTTGATCCAATGAAGGATAATATGATAATGGGACAACAACAGCAGCTGCAGCAACAACCTCCGGATGTATTTGATATACGTAAATAAAAGAATTTATTTATATTTGTTAAAAAAGAATGTAATATTTCTTTATATTACTTTAGCTCCCTTATCTCTATCGGCCGAAGTACAGCGTTCTCAGTTAATGACGGAAACCTGGTTTCATGGTTCTATTAGTCGTCCTGTGGCCGAGAGTATGCTTGACAACGATGGTGATTTCTTGGTACGTGAATCTCAGGGCAAACATGGCCAATATGTTTTAACTGGCCTGCAGGGCAAAACACCAAAACATTTACTACTTATCGATCCCGAGGGTATTGTACGTACCAAAGATCGTATATTTGAAAGCATTAGCCATTTAATCAACTATCACTGGACAAATCTATTACCCATAATATCTGAAGATTCAGAACTTGTTTTACGCACTCCTGTGGCAAAACTAAATAATTCAACATTAAACAGCAATACCACCAATACACAACATAACCATCATGCTCATCCACATACACATCATTCTCATTTACAATCATGTAAAGAATAAACGAAACAAACAAACAAACGACAGGAAGAACAAAAAAGAAACACATTTTTGGAGATTATCTTAAAGTAACTAAAATTAAATATCGTATATACATATATAAAGTATGAATGAATATTTAATAAACCTTTACACATATTTTCTGATATCAGTGTATACATTATATTATTTAACTATATAGCAATTTATTAAAGAAATGTGAACAAATTTTAAATAATAAAAAAACAAAAAAAAAAAAAAATGTAAGAAAAATATGTATTATTTGTATTGTATGTATTGTAGATGATGATAATTTTATTATATGTATGTATTTATTAATAAAAAAACACAATCATTAAAATTTAAAATAAAAGAATGTCTTAAATGTAATTGAGAACCTAAACACTTGGGTTTTTATTTAAAATTGTTTTTTAGAAATCTACAACAATAAGTGATAAATGAATTTAAAATCTGAAAATGAGTGGTATATTCTTGCAGTACAGGTCTTGTGCGACAGAATAACTTGTAGCAATATTCGCCCCTATCCTGCATTTCAAATCGTATCGGAATTTTCTCTGTATTTCGATTAGAAGCTCCATCGCTATAATATAACTTACAAATACTTCGCCTTTTTCTTACGTTAGACTTTTTTATCTAAATTTTAGATATTTTCTAATAAATTTCAATATTTCCTCCGAAGCCATTTATAATAAATTTACTTACAATCGTCTCAAAATTGATATGCTTAAAATCCAACATTTTCGCCAAAATGCAATTTCACCAAAATTAAAATTTTTAAAAAAATGCCACACTTTTACAACAATTTTCACCACGTTTAGACTTTTTCACCAAATTTCTACTTTTTCAACACAATTACATTTTTTTAACACAAATGTTTTTTCCTAAATTTTACAAATTGCAGAAAAAATTACACTTTTTTACAAATTCCTTTATTAATACTATATTCTACTTCAAAAATACTTCGGACTTATTCGCTAAAATTTTAAAGAAGCTTATTGCATAAAATATACTATTTGAAAAATCCTTCTTTTAAAAACCCACTAGAAATTATTCTTCACCCGATAAAGAAAACTTTCCGTTTTAAATTATAAACATTTTATTATATAACTCTTTTGTAAGTTTACATTAAACATGTCTTACAAACAATTGATTATGTGGAATATATGTATGTATATAAATTTATTAAAAATTGTGACATAAATATTATAAATAAATCGTTCATTTAAGAAGATTTATTTTTCAAAATTTTGTTTACATTACATGTTTTTCATTTATCCATTGCTATTTTTAAAATAAATAAAAACTGTGCAAAACAACTTTCAAGTAATTTTACCAAAAAAAAAAAAAATCCAAAATTTATGATTGTTTTAGTAGTTTCATTACAAAGAAGCCACTAGATAAAGGTGGGCTAATATGATTTTGTGATAACTCAGATTTAATTAAAAAACCAAGCATAAACAAGGAAACAAATTAAAAAAAAAAATAATAAAAATAATATTTATGTGTTAAAGTTTTTGTGTTGTATTTTTAATTTAAGGCTTCTTTTATAATCAGTTTTTTCAGTTACATTTTTTGTGTGTTTAAGTACAAATTACAATAGCAAAGCATTTTATTAATGTTTGTTCTTTTTTTTATATATTTTTTTTAAATACTATAATACGTTTTTGTTTATTTCTAATAAATATGCCTCTCTGTTGTAATTTGCTTAGGGAACTTAATTTTTTTACATTTAAAAGCAAACATTTTGGTTGTTGTTCTTAATAATTAACTAATTTAAGAGCTTATTATACGGCGAGCTTACTACTTTGTTGTTCCATTATTGTTGATATAGGAGTTATGCCAAATAAACTGCCAGTGAATGAAAGTAGTACGGAATAGTTGAAATACCAAAAAAGTATAAATAATACTGCAAATATCACATCTATATTTGATTTGTATTTCCAGTTAGAGTTGTTTATTAGCGATGGAGAAATATCATATAAAATAAACAGAAATAGAATAACAATTAATTAATAATTTTATATGTGTGTTTGCATAAGCAGTATAAAAACATAAAATGTGTAGATGTGTGAGATATTGTGTGATATAAATTGCAAATTTTTGTTAAAATTATAGAAAAACTTGGGTTTGTCTAGAAAATTTATATGCATAGGTCAATTAAACAAGTTAAAAACCATTAAATTTATAAAATCGTCTATATAAACATCTGTTTGTATAGTTTAAATTTAAAATGAATGATTTATTTATGAATAAATTAAACTCCGGACTATAGTGTAGTCCAGGCTTTAGACTATAGTTCAGACCGTAGACTAGGCTGTAGTGCAGAATATAGAACATACATTAATCCAGACTAAAGACTATACTATCGTGTAGATTATAGACCAAAGACTATAGTAGACTATAGACTCGACTTTAGTCCGGACTATGAACTAGACTATAGACTAGACTGTAAATTAGACTATATTACATACTATACTAATGTGCTTTTACTATATTTACATATGTATAATTTTTTTCATACTATTTTCATTTAAAAATTGTTAAAAGCACAACAAAATCAATTTCACTGTAGAAATAAACATGCAGTTGTTAATATTTTGACAAATAACGCGTGATAAATTGTGCCTCAAGTACCCGGGGGACATGCATATTGCTGGTGAATCACCATACGTGTGCCAACATTTTGATTAATCAAGTTATTAACAAATGCTATCAAATGTTTATAAAAGCATGTAGTACTTACGTATTGTTATGCGTTCCCATTTCTCCACCATGTATAATTCGGTGACCATTAAATAGCGAAACCACCAATAATTGCAAAAATCTATTATATTTTGTAGCATTTTTCTTGTTTTAAACTTTTTAAACACAGAAGTTTTAGCTTTTTAATGTCGGGTATGAATTTTCACCAATAAATGCTCAATAAATATTTCTAAACTATTGTTTAATTTTTAATTAATTGCTTGTATTTTGATAAGAATTATTAAAAACAATAAACTAGATTAAACACACTCATAGAATAGTGTTAGAGAATGAAAGATAAAAAAAATGAACAGCAACAACAACACCTGTCAGAAAGGCAGAGCCCCAAAATATAGAGTTGTCAATTTAGTGATTTTTGCAACATTACAAAAAGGATTGTATCCCTTAGACTTATAAGGTAAATTATATATTTGAAATAAACATATTTTGATAGTTTTATTACTAAATATAATTTTTTTATATATTTTTGAAAATCTACGTATGATTTATAAAGCTTTTATAATAATAATTTTAACAACTTTTATTGGTTTTTGATTTTTAAATATAAAGTAGACAGCACTGTTAGCAACATATGGGTTTTTTTGCGACTAAGATGCCACACCTTTTAATATATTTTGTAAACAAAGTTTATTGTGAATGATTCTAGATTGTTTAAAGCACTGGCAACACTTACATTTTCCAACTGTCAATTGATTCATCGTTGACATCCCCAACAATACAAAGCGAAATCAGAATTTTTTCTTTTTTTTACGGTGCATCTGTTAATAAATTTGTAAAAAACAATGAGTGGTGAACAAGTTAAGGATTCAAAAATGAATGAAAAACTCATAGCCGAGTTTCAACAGCTCCGCAATGAGCAAAGAAACTTGGTCAACAATCTAAATACATTGGAAATGGATCTTAAAGAACACAAGTAAGAAGCCAAAACATAACCTCAATTGGTTTAATTTATTGTCTTGAAAACTATAAAAAATCCTTTTTTTTTTCTTCTACTCTAGAACTGTGATAGACACCCTTAAAACCGTGGATCCTGATCGTAAATGTTTTCGTCTAATTGGTGGTGTTTTGTGTGAACGTACCGTTAAAGAAGTTTTACCTCAACTAGTAGAAAATAAGGATTTTATTGAGAAAACTATAACACTGGTCACAGATGATTTAACCAAAAAGGGATTACAAATCAATAAATTCAAGGAGGAACATAATATTAGAATACGTGGTGAACAGTTGCCCGGTGCAGATGGTCAAAAGTCGCAAGCAGATGAAAAGAAATCAGAAAATCGTAATGTATTAGTATCCAACTGAAGAACCTCTAAAATATAAACAAATTACAAAAAAAAAAAAGCACGAAGCAGAAGTGAACTTAACAATGTTTAATGTGCCGGGAGTAGAAAGACACCTGGTGGCCATTTAACTTTTTAATTATTGAAGCAATCACTTTTTGTTTTTCTTAAAATGGCCTCAATAATGAACATGATAATTGCAAAGAATTATTAATTTATTTTATGTTTAGTTTATAAAACTAATGTGTGAAAATATAATATATTAATTTGAATAAAAAAACCAAAACTAATACAATATACATAGGTGTATCTTGCAAAGATTCGGTTACTTTAACTGAAAGAACAAACGGGCAAGAAAATTAAGATTATCTGCTGTGATATTTCGATCGTGAAAAGACTTATCCCCACCAAATAGTTTTTAATACCAGACTATAAATTAGATAAAAGTCTAGATTAAGTGCAGGAATATAGGCCAGGCCATAAACTAAACTAAACTAGTACAGACTTTGAACTAAAATATTGTGACCTTGTTTCGAAAGCAAATTCAATAGAAATCCACAATAACCTCGAGACTACAGAATATGCCACAGCCCAGACTGTTTAGGCTTTAGTCCAAACTATAGACTAGTATTTAATACAGACTATAGCCATGACTATAGATTACACTATATATAGTCCAGATAACCCTATAATTCAGACTATATTATAGCCTAGACTACCGATTACACTGGGTTATAGCCCAGACTAGATAATAGTTCAGACTACATACTAGACTATAGTCCTGAATATAGCCCAGATTATAGACTAGAAGACTATAGACCAGACTATGGATTACACTATAGTCCAGACTAGACTATAATTCAGACTAGATTATAGTCCAGACTAGACTATAGTCCAGAATATAGACTAGAGTTTAGACTAGATGTTAAACCGTTAAAAAAATAATTCGATTAGTCGGATGCTCTACAGGCCACTCACTCTTTTACTTCATTCCATTTTATTTTTTAAATATAAAAAACAAACATTCTATTAATAAATTATATGTATTCTTAAACTTAACTCCTCCTAAAATCACCTCGTTGACCACCAGACTTAGATATTAATTTTATTTCCTTTATAATCATATCGTGCGTAATCGCTTTACACATATCGTAAACGGTGAGAGCAGCCACCGAAACTGCAGTTAAAGCTTCCATTTCAACCCCCGTTTGACCGCAGCAACGTACCGTTGCATCTAATACAACTATATGATTTTCTAAATCCAATTTAGCATTTACTTTAACCGATGATATGGTGATATTATGACATAAAGGTATTAGATCGGAGGTCTTTTTAGCACCTAAAATTCCAGCCAATTGAGCTACACTTAAGACATCTCCTTTCTTAAGATTGTTCGAGTGTATGAGTTGGGCAACAGCAGGACCTACATAGATCTGAGCCATTGCTTGGGCATCACGTGTTGTTACTGGCTTTTCCGATACATCAACCATAGACGCTTTACCGGTGGTAGCATCTACATGGGTAAGATTTTTACGATCAGTGCAGTAGTTATGTGCTGGTAAGACAACTACTCTGTGTTGGTTGCTGTTGAAGGTGTTTGCCAATAACATTGTATTAGTTAAGGATGATGATAATGGTGTTACTATATTGACCATTTTTAAATGATGGTGATGAGAATTAATGGAAATAGCTGTAGAATAGAAATTTTATTATATTTGTGTGGAATAATGCTTGTAATATTACCCACCTTATGTGCGGATGTTTAGTTTTATCCACCAATTAAGATCATTGGACGATTTTCCATTTGTGACAGATTTAACATGCCTATAAATAATTGATTTTATTCTGTTGTTAAAACAAATACAAAATCTTCCAATGATTTTTTTCTATTTAAAAGCTTAACAGTTTAATTTTTTGTTTTGTTTTAGTACTAATCAGATTCGCAGGTTTTTTATTAAAAAAAAAAACCTACAAATCTGCAAGTAGTGGGACAAAGTTGGTGTTTTAAATTGTTTCTATAAACTGTTAAGCCTTTAAATTTATTTAGAACTTATTATAACTCATACATACCTGCATGTTGTTTCTTTTTCCTTTTAACAGCCGCCGATATCAATGCTACTAAATCATCCTCGGAGCATTTACTTCTAATGGCATCTCTTAGGGATATTTCTTTATTGCCAAAAAGACACACTTTCAAATTACCATCTGCTGTCAAACGTAAACGATTGCAGGAGCCACAAAAATGCTCTGTCATCGATGTAATGAAACCCACTTGACCCTGATAGCCGGGCACTTTATAAGCTTTAGACGTATCATTAGGACCATTTTCCAAAGCCTCAAATTCTGGCCATTTATCACGTATGATTTTCAACGTATCTTGATAGCTTAATAATTTATCCGTTTGCCATTTATTACCCATAAAGGGCATGTATTCTATAAAACGTATATCCACATTACGATCCCGGGTAAACTCAACAAAATCACAAATTTCATCCTCATTGAAATTGCGCATGAGAACACAATTTATTTTGGGTTTATAGCCCAATTGTATGGCTAAATCTATGCCGGCTATAACACGTTCCCAACCACGACGCCGTGTTATCTCTTCGAAACGTTTTGGCTTTAACGTATCCAAACTAATGTTGATGGCATCTAGGCCGGCTTTTTGCATGGGCACCAATAGTCGTGTTAACACTAAGGCATTTGTGGTAATGCCTACATTTTCTAACTTTGGTATTTGCTTAAGTTTGGCTAAAATATAGAGAGACATTAAATTAAGAAATATTAATATTAACTGATGTTTTTAACAACTAACCTATAATTTCAACAATATCTTTTCGTACTGTGGGCTCTCCTCCGGTTAAACGTATTTTTCGTACACCCTGTTCCACAAATAAACGGGCTAAATAGTAAATTTCTTCTGTAGTCAAAAGATTGGTTTTTTGTTGCAGCGGAACACCTTCAGCCGGCATACAGTATTTACCTAGGATTAGGGTTATAATTAATTAAAAACAATTCTTGGTAATTAAAAAAAAAGTATAGTCGGGCGAGGCCGACCATATGATACCCTACACCAGTTATGAATATTAAATGTGATTTATTTTTCATAGTAAAGCATTTATTTTCAATATTCCCTTGTTCCAATACATTTAAGCAATTTATGGATGAAAAACTAATTTTCTGAAAGAGGCTTTATATGGGGGCTAGGGGCAAATATGGACCAAGCCCGATAAAATTTTTTGAATATATTTATATTTACATAATATTTTATTGTGCTGAATTTCATCGCGATATTTGTGTTTATAAGTTAATTTGGGTCATTCAAGTAATTTTCTGAAGGGGACTTTGTATGGGAGCTAGGGTCAAATGGGGCCCGATCTTTATGAAATTTGGCAGGGTCATCAAGAATTCTATAAAACTTAGTTGTGCCGTATTTTATCGATATATCTGTATATTTAACATAATTATGAGCTCAGAAGCCCTTTTCGGGGGGTTCTGTTCTATGGGGGCTAGGTGAAATAATGGACCGATTTTAACCATTTTCAATAGTCTTCGCCCTTGGGTCAAATAAAACGTGCGTGCCAAATTTCATCCAATTATCTTGAAAATTGCGACCTGCACCTTGCGCACAAGGTTTACATGGACAGCCAGCCAGCCAGCCAGACGGACGGACGGACATAGCTTAATCGACTCAGAAAACGATTCTAAGCCGATTGGTATACTTCTAGGACGAATATTTTTGTATGTTACAAACATCAGCACAAATCCAATATACCCTCCCCACTAAAGTGGTGTAGGGTATAAATAAGAAAAAATGCCTCTTTCAGAAAATTAGTTTTTCAATAAATTGCTTAAAAAAATCGGAATCAAGGTAATATTCCAGATAAATGCTTTATTATGAAAAATAGATCACATTTAATATTCATAACTGGTGTAGGGTATCATATGGTCGGTCACGCCCGACTATACTTTCTTACTTGTTTATAATGTTGAACCTAGAAACGCAAAAATAAACACGCCACATTTTGGTTGAATGAATATCTAGAGACTAATTGCTGGTACTTGTTCGTCATTTAAATGGATCTTTTTTGATTTTCTGAATTATTGAATATATAAACATAAAATCATACATATAGGATCCTGATATGAAAAACTATAGGAGTCAATGTTTTGGTACTTTTTGTGCTATGTTCGAAATTTAAAATTTCGTCACATTCATATTTTTAAGGCAGTAATGAGCAATGTAGTTATTTGCAGAGGGGTACCTTATATGGGGGAAGGGTCATTTATGGGCCGATCCAAAAAGGATTGGTACAGAGGTTTTGGCTCGTAAGAAACTTACGTGCGTAGCATTTCATCGCTTTACTCGTATTTTTAAGACAGTAATGAGCGTTTAAGCTATTTCCTGAAGTGGACCCAATAGGGGAGTAAAGCCAATTATGGACCTAACCATATAAAAGTTATTAAAAAGATTTTGGCTAGCGAGGAACTTAATTGTGTAAAATTTTATTGCTATATTCGTATTTTTTAGCCAGTAATGAGCGTTAAAGTCATTTTCAGAAGGGGACCTTATATCGGAAATAGGGTCATTTATGGGCAGATCTTTTGGTTCGTAAGAAACTTACTTATACCGAATTTCATCACTATACTCGCATTTTTGGACCAGTAATGAGTGTTAAAGTAATTTTCTGAAGGGGACCTTATAATTGGGGGGTACGGTCAATTATGGACCGATCCTCAAAAAATTTGGTAAGAAGATTTTGGCTCACATGAAACTTATTTAGTCCAATTTCATCGTTATACTTGCATTTTGGGGCCAGTAATGAGTGTTAAAGTTATTTTCAGAAGGGGACCTTATATGGGGGGTAGGGTTATTTATGGGCCTATCCTAAAAAAATTGGTTAAAAGGTTTTGGTTCGTAAGAAACTTACTTATACTGAATTTCATCGCTATACTCGAATTTTTAGGCCGGTAATGAGTGTTAAAGTCGTTTTCTAAAGGGGACCTTATATGGGGGGTAGGGTCATTTATGGGCCGATTCTAAAAAAATTTGTAGAGAGATTTTGGTTCGTAAGAAACATACTTATACCGAATTTCATTGCTATACATGCATTTGGGGATCAGTAATGATGCGTTAAAGAAAAATGACAAGCAAGGGCTAGTTTAAGAAAATTCTGAAGCCGTAAAAGGTTTTTGTTTTGTTCCAAAATCATTCAATTAAAGTGTTTGTTCAATTAAAACACAACTGACTACATTGTCGATGTGTGTATATTATTAAAACTAATGTTCCGGGCCTACAATTTTCATGTAAAACCTATTGTTATTATATAATTTCTAAAATAATCAACAAATATACAATATAAATGCAACAGTCATTTGATATCGCCTTAAGTACTTAATTACGAAATTTAATATTTTTTTTACAATTGAACAACAAACATCATCATACTACCCTAACACTCAAGCATGCTAAGTTAATTGATTTGTATGAACAACTATACTCTTTTATTAACATCTCTACTTACAGCGTAAATTGCAACGTTCGGTTAATGAAATTCTCAAATATGTATGATAACGTCCAAATCTATCTGTTAATGTTGAATTTTTTAGGAGGTTAGGGGTTATCGGAGGAAGTACATTGGTCTAAATAAATAAAAAAAAAAGAGAAAACAATTTGAAATACAATAACAATAACTCAATTATTTTAAAAATAAATAATATTATCTAGATTTTTTTACCTTTGTATGGTCATGCTCTTGCTGTGTTGTTGTTGTTGTTGTTGGTTTATGAACGGGTTGTAGTTTTAAAGTTGATTTGGTGGAAAAAAAGTAACTGCCACTTGTTGTTAAAGAAAATAATGATGATGAAGAGGGTAATTTGCTGCAAATGTCAGCTGTTTTAATTTTTAGGCCACGTTGTAGAAAAGAAGACATTTTTCAAGTTTTTTTGGACAATTTTTTAATATTTATAGCAATAATATAAAATACGCTTTAACAAATGTTTAAATATTAACTTAATACTCCTTCTCCTGCTCTTCGACTTGTGTATTGTTTATGCCTTAAATTTTAATAAATGTTTGTTTTAACGACCAATCCCAATTATAAAAACGTTTAGAATTTTATTTAATAATTTAATCAATTACAACATACCTGTTGTCTGAGCTGGATGTTTTGATAACAATTTGTTTTTATTTTTTTATTTAAATCTTTAAAATATTTACGTGCATAGTATTTGTGATGATTACAAAACAATTTGTTATTTTTTCTTTACTCGACCAACCGGCAACTGCGTCTGAACGACCACATTAGAAGAGAGTATTTTGTCAACTAAATAAAAATAATAATAAAAGTTGTTGTCTATCTACCACATCGAACTGAAATGTTTATCAGATAGACAGACCCCAAGTTAATCAAAGAACTTAAGAGGTATTTGTATATAAATTTAGTATAATATTATTTATTTACAATTGTATTCATAAACATTTGTTAATATAGATTAAAAAACTCAACATATGTATGTAGTTTTAATATTAATATATTTAATTCAAATATTAAAATCTTTGAAATCTTTTAAAATATGAACTTACCTTATACTATTAAAAATATTTAAAATATAATTTTATTTTAAAATAACACACCATTTTATTTTTGTTTTTAACCTAAAATAAAACGCAAACTGTATATAAAATAGGTTCCAATTGAATATATTTATAGTATAAATAAAATTTTATACATTTAGATTTTGTAATTCTATTCCAATTCTTCCATTTAATAACAGTCTACTGAATGCACTTTAAACTGAATAAGTTTTCCTAAATTTTCCCTAAAAATAAACCCATAATAAATTTTTATGAATACAACTGTTACTATATGAGTCGACAAAAAAATTTAGTAACATAACAAACTAAAAAAAAAAAGAGATTTCAAATGTACTTGACTATGAAGAGAAACGAAATTAAGAGAAAAGTTAATTAAGTACAAAGTGATAGCAAATAGTGCTTTTCATAATATTGTTGGTGTTTTTTTTTTAAACTAAATTAAACATACATAGAATTATGATGAAATAAACACAAGAAAAATATTAGTTTCTAGACTAAAAAATCAATTTTTAAAGGAAAGTATAGGTGACTACAAAATAAGCTTCTTTTTCAATTTAAATGCGTTTTAACGTAGTTATAAGCAATTTAAGTTTTATCAAGATTCTCGGCCGAAAAATCGATTTTTGAAGGAAAGTATGGGTGATCACAAAATAAGCTTCTTTTTCAATTTAAATGCGTTTTAACGAAGTTATAAGCGATTTAAGTTTTATCAAGATTCTCGGCCAAAAAATCGATTTTTGAAGGAAAGTATGGGTGATCACAAAATAAGCTTCTTTTCAATTTAAATGCGTTTTAACGAAGTTATAAGCGATTTAAGTTTTATCAATATTCTCGGCCAAAAAATCGATTTTTAAAGGAAAGTATGGGTGATCACAAAATAAGCTTCTGTTTTCAATTTAAATGCGTTTTAACGAAGTTATAAGCGATTTAAGTTTTATAAGTTTCCAAGGAAAGTATGGGTGATCACAAAATAAGCTTCTTTTTCAATTTAAATGTATTTTAACGAAGTTATAAGCGATTTAAGTTTTATCAAGATTCTCGGCCAAAAAATCGATTTTTGAAGAAAAGTATGGGTGATCACAAAATATGCTTCTTTTTTCAATTTAAATGTGTTTTAACGAAGTTATAAGCGATTTAAGTTTTATCAAGATTCTCGGCCAAAAAATCGATTTTTGGAGGAAAGTATGGGTGATCACAAAATAAGCTTCTTTTTCAATTTAAACGCGTTTTAACGAAGTTATAAGCGATTTAAGTTTTACCAAGTTTCTGGGCCAAAAAATCGATTTTTGAAGGAAAGTATGGGTGATCACAAAATAAGCTTCTTTTTCAATTTAAACGCGTTTTAACGAAGTTATAAACGATTTAAGTTTTATCAAGTTTCTGGGCCAAAAAATCTATTTTTAAAGGAAAGTATGGGTGATCACAAAATAAGCTTATTTTTCAGTTTAAATGCGTTTTAATAAAGTTATAAGCGATTTAAGTTTTATCAAGTTTCATGGCCAAAAAATCGATTTTTGAAGGAAAGTATGGGTGATCACAAAAAGAGCTTCTTTTCCATTTTAAATGCGTTTTAACGAAGCTATAAGCTATTTAAGTTTTATCAAGTTTCTGGGCCAAAAAATCTATTTTTAAAGGAAAGTATGGGTGATCACAAAATAAGCTTCTTTTCCAATTTAAACGAGTTTTAACGAAGTTATAAGCGATTTAAGTTTTATCAAGTTTCTGGGCCAAAAAATCGATTTTTGAAGGAAAGTATGGGTGATCACAAAATAAGCTTCTTTTTCAATTTAAATGCGTTTTAACGAAGTTATAAGCGATTTTAGTTTCATCAAGTTTCTGGGCCAAAAAATCGATTTTTAAAGGAAAGTATGGGTGATCACAAAATAAGCTTCTTTTTCAATTTAAATGCGTTTTAACGAAGTTATAAGCGATTTAAGTTTTATCAAGTTTCTGGGCCAAAAAATCGATTTTTAAAGGAAAGTATGGGTGATCACAAAATAAGCTTCTTTTTCAATTTAAACGAGTTTTAGCGAAGTTATAAGCGATTTAAGTTTTATCAAGTTTCTGGGCCAAAAAATCGATTTTTAAAGGAAAGTATGGGTGATCACAAAATAAGCTTCTTTTTCAATTTAAACGAGTTTTAGCGAAGTTATAAGCGATTTAAGTTTTATCAAGTTTCTGGGCCAAAAAATCGATTTTTAAAGGAAAGTATGGGTGATCACAAAATAAGCTTCTTTTTCAATTTAAACGAGTTTTAGCAAAGTTATAAGCGATTTAAGTTTTATCAAGTTTCTGGGCCAAAAAATCTATTTTTGAAGGAAAGTATGAGTGATCACCAAATACGCTTCTTTTTCAATTTAAATGCGTTTTAACGAGGTTATAAGCGATTTAAGTTTTATCAAGATTCTCGGCCAAAAAATGGATTTTTGAAATAAAGTATGGGTGATCACAAAACAAGCTTCTTTTTCAATTTAAATGCGTTTTAACGAAGTTAGAAGCGATTTAAGTTTTATCAAGTTTCTGGGCCAAAAAATCTATTTTTAAAGGAAAGTATGGGTGATCACAAAATAAGCTTATTTTTCAATTTAAATGCGTTTTAACGAAGTTATAAGCGATTTAAGTTTTATCAAGATTCCTGGCCAAAAAATCGATTTTTGAAGGAAAGTATGGGTGATCACAAAATAAGCTTATTTTTCAATTTAAATGCGTTTTAACGAAGTTATAAGCGATTTAAGTTTTACCAAGTTTCTGGGCCAAAAAATCGATTTTTGAAGGAAAGTATGGGTGATCACAAAATAAGCTTATTTTTAAATTTAAATGCGTTTTAACGAAGTTTTAAGCGATTTAAGTTTTATCAAGTTTCTGGGCCAAAAAATATATTTTTGAAGGAAAGTATCACAAAATAAGCTTCTTTTTCAATTTAAATGCGTTTTAACGAAGTTATAAGCGATTTAAGTTTTATCAAGTTTCTGGGCCAAAAAATCGATTTTTGAAGGAAAGTATGAGTGATCACCAAATAAGCTTATTTTTCAATTTAAATGCGTTTTAACGAAGTTATAAGCGATTTAAGTTTTATCAAGTTTCTGGGCCAAAAATCGATTTTTGAAGGAAAGTATGAGTGATCACCAAATAAGCTTATTTTTCAATTTAAATGCGTTTTAACGAAGTTTTAAGCGATTTAAGTTTTATCAAGTTTCTGGGCCAAAAAATCGATTTTTGAAGGAAAGTATGAGTGATCACCAAATAAGCTTATTTTTCAGTTTAAATGCGTTTTAACGAAGTTATAAGCGATTTAAGTTTTATCAAGTTTCTGGGCCAAAAAATCTATTTTTGAAGTAAAGTATGGGTGATCACTAAATAAGCTTATTTTTCAATTTAAATGCGTTTTAACGAAGTTTTAAGCGATTTAAGTTTTATCAAGTTTCTGGGCCAAAAAAATCGATTTTTGAAGGAAAGTATGAGTGATCACCAAATAAGCTTATTTTTCAATTTAAATGCGTTTTAACGAAGTTTTAAGCGATTTAAGTTTTATCAAGTTTCTGGGCCAAAAAATCGATTTTTGAAGGAAAGTATAAGTGATCACCAAATAAGCTTATTTTTCAATTTAAATGCGTTTTAACGAAGTTATAAGCGATTTAAGTTTTATCAAGTTTCTGGGCCAAAAAATCTATTTTTGAAGGAAAGTATGGGTGATCACAAAATAAGCTTATTTTTCAATTTAAATGCGTTTTAACGAAGTTATAAGCGATTTAAGTTTTATCAAGTTTCAGGGCCAAAAAATCTATTTTTGAAGGAAAGTATGAGTGATCACCAAATAAGCTTATTTTTCAATTTAAATGCGTTTTAACGAAGTTATAAGCGATTTAAGTTTTATCAAGTTTCTGGGCCAAAAAATATATTTTTGAAGGAAAGTATGGGTGATCACAAAATAAGCTTCTTTTTCAATTTAAATGCGTTTTAACGAAGTTATAAGCGATTTAAGTTTTATCAAGATTCTCGGCCAAAAAATCGATTTTTGAAGGAAAGTATGAGTGATCACCAAATAAGCTTATTTTTCAATTTAAATGCGTTTTAACGAAGTTATAAGCGATTTAAGTTTTATCAAGATTCTCGGCCAAAAAATCTAGTTTTGAAGGAAAGTATGGGTGATCACAAAATAAGCTTCTTTTTCAATTTAAATGCGTTTTAACGAAGTTTTAAGCGATTTAAGTTTTATCAAGTTTCTGGGCCAAAAAATCGATTTTTGAAGGAAAGTATGAGTGATCACCAAATAAGCTTATTTTTCAATTTAAATGCGTTTTAACGAAGTTATAAGCGATTTAAGTTTTATCAAGTTTCTGGGCCAAAAAATCGATTTTTGAAGGAAAGTATGAGTGATCACCAAATAAGCTACTTTTTCAATGCGTTTTAACAAAGTTATAAGCGATTTAAGTTTTATCAAGATTCTCGGCCAAAAAATGGATTTTTGAAGGAAAGTATGGGTGATCACAAAATATGCTTCTTTTTCAATTTAAATGCGTTTTAACGAAGTTATAAGCGATTTAAGTTTTATCAAGTTTCTGGGCCAAAAAATCTATTTTTGAAGGAAAGTATGGGTGATCACAAAATAAGCTTCTTTTTCAATTTAAATGCGTTTTAACGAAGTTATAAGCGATTTAAGTTTTATCAAGATTCTGGGCCAAAAAATCGATTTTTGAAGGAAAGTATGGGTGATCACAAAATAAGCTTCTTTTTCAATTTAAATGCGTTTTAACGAAGTTATAAGCGATTTAAGTTTTATCAAGATTCT